TTGCTATGGTGATCCTTCTAGAAGAGGTCAGGCCTCTGTAATGATGACACTGCAGCTACGTGTTGCTATGGTGATCCTTCTAGAAGAGGTCAGACCTCTGTAATGACGACTCTGCAGCTACTTGTTGCTATGGTGATCCTCCTTGAAGAGGTCAGGCCTCTGTAATGACGACTTTGCAGCTACTTGTTGCTATGGTGATCCTTCTAGAAGAGGTCAGGCCTCTGTAATGATGACACTGATGCTGTCCTTTTGTTATGGGGACAACTTCCCTTCCTGTTCCTATAGGGAAAAGTTCCCAACTTTGTGAGATGAGAAAGAGAGACACATTATAGCGTGTATTATGTAGGTGACATATGTCCATACCAAGCCTCCAGTCATGAAGACCATGAGGACTCACAATTGGTACCACGAGAACTCAATGGTTGGTTTAAAAGAAGAGAAAATAGCCTAAAAAACATTTATTGTCCAATTTGCACAAAACAAATGCACATGCAGATTCACTGGACAAATGGCTATGCAGTTTTTTTTTTTATAAAAAGACCTCTGAAAGTCCCAAGATTTGACTTTCCTCTTTTGTACAACTATAGAATGAATTTGTTGGTTCACCCCTTAAGGGGGATAATTCACAGTGATCCAAAAATATATAATTAATATTCCTTAATTTTCTAAAATGTCCAAAAAAAGTCAATGCAGTACGGACCCTGGAGGTGTTCTATACAGAGACATGAGACAGGGATTGAACCATGCACAGAGAGAGGGAGAAGAAGGAGGTAGAGATGTAAGACATGAGGAGAAAATGTCAATGTCAAAAGTGACTGCAGAGCTCAATTTCAGTCCCGTGAAGACTGAGTCCTGTGAAGACTGAGATTGAGCTCTGCAGTCACTTTGCAGCAGTTGTTTTCTTATTCCGGGTCACAATCCTGCGCAATGTCCTTTTATCTCTTTCGGTCATTTGTTTCATGTCAGTTGACCTTCTTATGCTTATCAGACGACATTTCACAAATACTGCCGTGACACGACAAATAAATTGCCAGCTTCAGTCACAGAGGCACCAGCTAAGCGGGCACCAACAATTTGCCCTCTATAAAGCTCAGTAAACTCTGACATGACTTCGTATTACTAGCAGTGCATGCAGTGAGTGAAGAAATTGAGGCTTCCCACCTGTTAGCTAGGTGTCTCATCACACAGCGGAAACAAAAGACCGTTACATCAATTACGCTTTCAATGCAAAATATGTTGTCACTTTCACACCTGAAAATAATATAGTCTCATTTTTATGACTAACCCCTGTATAACAATGGTATTACTTCTGCTAATATACACTGCTCAAGCAGAAGCAAAAGAATGTTCCATCACTTCCTCGTTCAACACAAAACATGTCATCTGTTTCACACCTGCAATCCATGTAGTATTTCCATTTTTTGTCCAACCCCTGTAATGCTGGTTCTGATAGAAAGGTGTCAGAACACACAGTGCATTCCAGTTTATGTATGGGGCTGTGTAGCCGCAGAGCCATCAGGGTACCTACGCCATCCCGTGTCCACAGCCAAAAGTGTCTACAATGGGCATGTGTGCATCAGAACTGTTTTGGTGGAAAAAGGGGAACTTACTCAATATTAGGTGAATGGTCATAATGTTATGCTGGGCGGTCATCATGTTATGGCTGATCAGTGTATAGAGAAAATAGAGGGAACACAGAGAGACATAGACATGAGACAAAGAGAGAGACAGAAAGACAAGGGACATAAGATATAGGGCGGGAAAAAAAGAAAAAAAAAAGTTATGGGATATAGGGAGGGTAGAAATCATCCAAAGACCAAATCTGTAGGAAAGGAAGAAAGAAATGGATGGAGCAGGGAATAGATAGAAGAAAGAAGGAGGCACAAAGATAGTTCGGTGCATAGTGGAATACATTGCTGATACATTTGGGTTCCTAGCTATAAGGGAACATGCTGATAAAAGTAGACCTGTCACTGAGGCTGCTATTGCTGAGCTCCCTTTTTAAAAAGGTCAGTCTCCTGTCTATTATGTTGACCCACTAAGTTCAATTATTTGAATCACTGACCCAAAACAAAAGGGCGTCTGACTTCACACTTACTTTTATGATCTTTATAGCTTTTTCGTACTTTCTCATGACATATTATCCCTTAAGGTGTATATAACAAATGAAAATACGTGGAAAGTAGAAAGTAAGGACTAACAGTGAGTTAAACAGAAAGTGGTTGGGTTCATTGGGTGATGGTGACAATTTGGGGCTACATTAGTAGAAGACAGAATATAGATGGAAGCCAATAGAAATGGCAGTCTCTCTTCTTTCTCCAGGTTCACCAGCCAGGTTCGGGATAACCTTCATGTCATATTTATTCAGAGAGGCCTAAGCCCTTCACCTTGGCTGGCCCGGTACACCTATACAGACATTTATCAGCCATGGGACTTCACCTCTCTTCACCATGTTGCTGAGAAGCTTCTACAGAAGCTGCCAGGTGAGTCATATCCAAAGAACCCGATGACATCCCACATGGAAGAAAAATATATTTCAAATATATTCTTCCCAAATTGTATAGTGACATATATTTGAAATACTACAATTTTGGTCATATTCAATATATTTCAAAATCTATTTCAATATATATATATATATATATATATATATATACACTGGATGTTGAAATGCTTTTTCTTATATATTACAAAATATATGAAAAGTATTTTAAAAAATATATTTTTTTAAAATATATTCTTCAGATTTTTTTTTTTAACATATAAAAAAGTCATTTTAACATATATTTTTACATATATTTGTAAATGCATTCCAAAGATGTAGATTTGTATTTTTAAAGACATACAGTATATTTGAAAATGTATTTTTTAAAATACTTTTCATATATTCTGTAATAAAAACTAATTTCAACATACAGTGTGTGCGTGTGTGTATATGTGTGTATATGTGTGTGTATGTATGTATGTATGTATGTATATATATGTATATATATATATATATATATATATATAATATTTATTATAATTATTATTATACAGGATTTATATAGCGCCAACAGTTTGCTCCGCACAAATATATATATATATATTGAATATGGCCAAAATTGTAGTATTTCAAATATATTTTTTTCCATATGGGATATCAGGACTAAGGGACAGTTCAAACCACAAAAACATACTGGATGCGTTTTTGCTTACAGTTCACACCGCACTCTGTTGTGGTGCAGTTTGCTATGTTCCAGTATGGTTTTGTGCAGAAAAAATGCAGCCTGTTCTACTTTTTTTTTTCTTCACTGGAAACTGACTGGAACTGACTGCAATAGTGTGAACCAGGGCCATTGGAATACATGGAAAACACTGTGTATGCATTTTTGATGCAGAAAAAAACCCACACTGGACTGCATCTGGTGTGAACCAGCCTTTAAAGTGATTCTAAAGGTCTTGTGAATAGAAGATAACAAAACAAATGACGGGACTTTTCAGGTGTGACCTGTCAGCAAAATGAACACAAAATTTGAAGTTAAATTTGTTCTCTTTATTAATACAAATAGACACACATAGTATAAATTGTTGTATCATTTTTAAAAGCCAAAAAATCATAGCACCAATCAATTGACAGCACAGTGGCGAAGTGGTTAGCACTTCCGCCTAGCAGCACTAGGGTCGTTGGTTCAAATCATAACCACGATACTAACTGTCTGGAGTTTACATGTTCTTCCCGTGCCTGCATGGGTTTTTGCCAGGTATTCCAGTTTCCTCCCACGCTCCAAAGGCATGCTGGTAGGTTAATTGGATCTTGTCTAAATTGTCCCTAGTATGTGTATGTATGAATGTGAGTTAGGGAGCTTATATTGTACACCCCTTGAGGGTTAGGGACTGATGTGAATGGACAATATATGTGTAAAGCGCAAAGTAATTTGATGGCTCTATATAAGTACCTGAAATAATAATAAAAGCCATTCCACCCCATAAGTGGCCAAACTAAAAGCCAGTTTTCAAAAATCACTATAACTGTAGTATATGAAGGTCCACAGATCCAGAATGAACAAAGTCCTAACTGGTCACTTGGTGAATACAGCCCCACTCATTATGTTTTGCGTATTGGTTCCTCAGGAGTAGGGTGAAAAGGTATAAAGCTGTTAAAGCACTAACTGGCTGAATGAAGACCTCAGTCTATCCGGCCAGTATGGAAGTGTGAGTGTCCGACTCCCATGAGGTCAATATTTGCCCATCTGTGGATGCCATGGGGCCATAACCTCCTCACCTTTCTGGTGGGACACAATCTAACCGATAACTAGGTCTATACAAAGGCAACTTGCATCTTCCTGCTTATGTGATGGTTTATTTGTACGTCAGCTCTGTCTTCACTTCTTTTGTTCACCTCCAGTGCTTCCGTTAATGGTGCCTCTCAGAGATGTGGAGAGCCCTCATACTACATACTAATATATAGAGTCTTAATTTCAACATTCTATCTGTGTCTATATATATATATATATATATATATATATAGTAAAGGGAACAATCTTAACTTTCAATTTTGTGTGCATTTTTCACACCTGAAAAGTCCTGTCTTTTGCTTTGTTGTCTTCTATTAACAATTTGTGGACAAAATTAAAGATTCTCTGTAACACCTGCCAACATCCCTATTCTAGGACAAAATGTGAAATTCCCCCCCTATTTTATGGGACTTTAGAGGCAGATCAGCAATAATTAAAATTACATAATCTTTATTTGTAAATATGTTATGAAAGTTAAAAAGGAATTTTCAGGGGTAGCTCTGAAGTCAATACATTGTGATCTACAGTAAAATCATATCTTTAGAACATACAGTACATATCATTGTATATGAGTTGTAAATTTGTGAAATGCAATACATAATACCCACATATCAAAGAAAAAGTGGGGATAACCCTTTCCCTTCTGTAGTTAGAAGAGGGTTGACAAAGAAAGGAGGACAATCTGACTGTGTCAGACTGTGTCAGGGGCGGACTGACAACTCATGGGGCCCCCGGGCAATAGGGGATCATGGGGCCCCTGTGTCTGTGCCCAAACTCAAAAAAGCCTATGAAAAAGGTACCAGGGGCATCTCATGGAGCCCCCTACTGACCCCGGGCCCTCGGGCAGTGCCCGAGTTTCCAAATGGTCAGTCTGCCCCTGGACTGTACATTCATGATACGGTTGTTCATTTTTAATATTTTCTCTTTGATATGTGAGTATTATGTATTTCATGTACTGTATTCACAAATACTGGGGATATGTATCAAGAAATTGAAGCTAAAATTCCTTTTCAACCTTCATAACATATTTACACATAAAGATTGTTATTTTAATTATTGTTGATTTGCCTTTAAAGTCCCATAAAATTGCGGAGTAATTTCACATGTTGTTCTATTAACAATTTGGGATTTGGTGTGTTTTATTGATCCTCAAGGAGACCCTTGTTGTCTATTGCCTGTCATGTGATCATCTCATTTCTTCTTAGGTACCTGGAGCTCACCCGTTTCTCTTCCCAAAGTCATGTCTCTTATTCACCTATCAGCTCAGAGTTACTATCAAAGGATGTGGCCAGACCTCCCACTGAGCTCCCCAAGGACCTTCATCACCTTCATCAATACCTTCCTAAAAGTCTTTGCACATCGGAGAGATACTGTTTTGAAGGAAATGGGACGGTGAGAGGAAGAAGTGATGGGGGGAAATGGGAATAAAAATTCCTGCAAGGGAACTGTTGGGAGCACATCTCATGGGTCCGTTCCCTACACACAGTGTGAAGGACAGGTTATTGGAAGCCAAGACAGCAGCATTGTTTTGCTGCAGAAGCAGTCAAAGTATTCATGGTGGCAGGGAGACGGGGCTGGGGGATAGGTAGCATTCTGTAGTCTAGCAGGGGGAGTTCTATAGTTCGCTCAGGCAGGGCTGTCAACACTGTCCAGGATTTTACTGCAGCAGAGGCACCATGTTGTCAGCCTAAACAGGAAGTTAGGAACTCATCGGATTTCTGGTGGATCAACAGAAAAATGCTGTAACTGCAGTGTTTTTAAAGGGATTAAACTTGGGGAAAGGACCACCTGTTGCAGATGTATACAAATTGCCTGGACATACACTCTGATAAGGAGGAATGGAAGGAGGAACTAAAGAAGAGAGTAATCCAGAAGAAGTGAGAAGAAGGGTTAGTGGTGAGAGGAGGAATGGAAGCAGTAAAGGGTAATCTAGGTAAAGGTGAGATGGAGATGTAGAGAACATTGAAAGGAGGTAATAAGGAGAATGCTTTTATGTTATTATGTCTTTTCTAGGCTCCAATTAGCAGTGTGCCGGGTGGAGGAGGTTTATGTGGAACAAGAAAGGTGGACAAAGGAAGCCGAAATCCTCACCCAACGACAGCAAGATGCAGAGCAGGTGAGTGTACAAGTTTCCTGGAAAAATATCTAAAATTCAGGAAGATTAAAGTGTCAGCTCAGAGGACCAGAGTACAGAATGGAGGGGTGGCCTTAAGACCAGGTAGAAAATGAAGACCTCAAGGCAGAAATAACACTGGATATCTATACTCTCTCTCTCTCAATACAGAAGCCTCTTTAATGTCCTCCTTATCACAAATATTAGAGTGTCAGCTCAGAGGGCATGAAGACAGGTAGAAATGAGGACTAGGGCACCAGTGACCTTGAAGTGCTATACTATCTCTCCCAGTGCAGAGGTCTCTTTAGTATCCTTATCACAAAGATTAGAATGCCTGCTCAGAGGACCAGAGTACAGAATGGGAGCTTCACTGACCAGGTATAGAGAAAAGATTATAAGACAGCAGTGACTCTGGACTTCTCCTATACAATCTCTCCCAATACAGAAGCCTCCTTAGTATCCTCCTTATCACAAAGATTAGAGTGTCAGCTCAGAGGACCAGAGTACAGAATGGGAGGGCCTGAAGACCAGGTAGAAAGTGAAGACTCTAATCCTGCTTTCACACTGCTGCAGTTTTTCCTGCTCCGTGTGTTTGGAGCAGGTTAGCTGTGCTTTCCCATAGTTATATTGTGTCCTGCATGTTTGTTGCACTTTCCGATAGATAACTCTATGGGAAAGCGCAACTAACCCACTCCAAACACGCGGGTATGCTGTGCTGCGCCTGCAGTGCGGGAAAAGTGCACCACAGCAGCGTGCAAGCAGGCTAAGGCAGCAGTGACCCTGAACTCCTCCTATACCACCTCTCCCAATACAGTGGCCTCTTTGGTATCCTTCTTATCATGAAGCTGTTCCTCTCCTTCAATTTTCCTCATCAATATGGTTGAAAATGATCATCCATTTGACCCCATTAACTATTAGAAAATTGAATGAATGTTCTGAAAGTGAATATTTTCTAATACAATTCTATTGCTATAAAACCAGCTAGGCCAGCCATGACCCTTGACTCCTCCTATACCTACCAATACAAAGGCCTCTTAAGTAACTTGTTTATCATTTCATGGCACAGTATCTCATTGTTATAACCTCATAAGAATCCCTATTTCTCTGATAGGAGACAGAACGGTGGAGGAAAGAACTGGAAGAGACGCGGGAAGCTGAGCGCCAAGTGAGGGAGGAGTGTGAGGAGCTAGAAATATCAAAAGATCGTATGAGGAACCAAGTCAACACATTACAGGGCCACAGACAACACCAACTGGAAGAGGTGAGTAGATGTACTGTATACAGTCCATGCACCCCAATTATCTGTCACTGAGCATACAGTAGGTACTCCAACATTGTACTAGATATCCTGACGTACCCGTGCACCCTGATAACTATCCCTGAGTAACTGTACCCCAACACTGTTGAATATAACCTGGCATGTCAATGAACCCCAATATCTGCCCCTAAGTAACTGAACCCCAATACTGTTCTGTATAACCTGACATTGCACCCCAATATCTGTCCCTGAATATCTCTACTTCCACAGTTGTGCTGTATAACCTGATATGTCAATGCAATTCGAAATCCATCACCCAGTATCTGTATTACAACACTCCTTTGAAACCTGACATGTCAGTGTACCCCTGTGCAGTCTGAAGATCAGATCCCCTTAAACATGAGTTGATGTCAGTTTTTAGATACTTACCCAGTCTTACGGTTAATACCTGTGTATAGCCAAAACTTTTTTTTTTTTTTGTTTTGTTTTGGATGTAGTAGTGAAAGATCAGAACCCCTGTCAGGTTTTTATTGCGGTCTTTGGAGATTCACCCTCTCTTTTTTTTTTCCTGGTGACCATTTTCACTAAAAGAAAAGGTCATGAGAAATGCAAAATATTGCATTGTCACTGGATCAAGGGATGAGGGGAAATCTTCCAGTGGGGGCATCTGTAGCTGTGACAACTGACTTTGGGAAGATTTCCCTTCACAGGGACACAGTCAACAAAAAATAAGCTGGCAGGGATTTTAACCCTTCCTTGTGTAGTGCTACCCTCTTGAGAGCTGCTAGGTTTGGGTCCCTTTTTACTTCCTGCACAGCCAGGCAACACACATTTTCCACTTGCATCCAGAAACAGTCCATGGGCTTGGTTTTTTAGTTGTATTAGAGAATTTAACTTGGATGGGGTATAGGGGTTATGGGATGCCCAATTTATTGCACTCTTAACAGTTTGAGGACAACTTCCTTTTCTGGAAAATGATACAGAAATGACATCACCAAAGGACCCCACATAAAATTCTGTGAATTCTCAGTGTCGGAAACAGCAGACACACAACAGGATATAGTCAAAAACTATGGGCTTGATACAAGAGATGGTCAAAGACTTGGGGCATGACACAAGAGATGGTTAGGACTGGTGACATGCTGCAGGAGATGGTCAGAGACTATGAACATGCTGTTCATAGTTGTTGGAGACTGGGAACATGCTTCAATAGATTTTTCTGCTATAAGAGAAAAATAGGGGAACACAGATCAGTGCTTCAAGAGACCCGTGTGTCACGATTGCGGCGTCAGACCCCAGACCTTCTCATCAAACTCGTGACCGCAGGACTAGCCGATCTAAAACCGCGATGTCACGTGCGTAACAATGCCACACCCAGCTGCACCCTGCACAATGATTTTCCAGCTAATTGGACCACAATCGATGTACCGGCAGCCTGAGCGATTGTTACTGGGTCAGGTTAATTACGCAATTAACCCTTCACACTACCACCACCTCCTTTTTGTACAGAGAAAGAGGAAACTTGGCGATATCAACTAAAACACTATAATGGTTGAGGTAATTGTCTGCATAATACGGTCATCGCAAGGCCAATTATGCAGAGGGTTAAACAAACACAGTAGCATTCTCTTTAGAGGCAGGAATTCGTAAATTGCAATAAAGCGCTATAGAAACAGTTCAACACTTTCAGAAGGAAAGATTTATTACTAAAAGGTCAAACAGGTGCAATAAAAATATTTACAGAAAAAGATGTAACTAAGAGATATATATATATATATATATATATATATATATATACAGTGGGACAAAAAAGTATTTAGTCAGCCACCAATTGTGCAAGTTCTCCCACTTAAAAAGATGAGAGAGGCCTGTAATTGGCATCATAGGTAGACCTCAACTATGACAGACAAAATGAGAAAAAAAATCCAGACAATCACATTGGCTGATTTGGAAAGAATTTATTTGCAAATTATGGTGGAAAATAAGTATTTGGTCAATATGAAAAGTTAATCTCAATACTTTGTTATATATCCTTTGTTGGCAATGACAGAGGTCAAACATTTCCTGTAAGTCTTCACAAGGTTGGCACACACTGTTGCTGGTATGTTGGCCCATTCCTCCATGCAGATCTCTAGAGCAGTAATGTTTTGGGGCTGTCGCTGGGCAACACGGACTTTCAACTCCCTCCAAAGGTTTCTATGGGGTTTAGATCTGGAGACTGGCTAGGCCACTCCAGGACCTTGAAATGCTTCTTACGAAGCCACTCCTATGTTGCCCGGGCGGTATGTTTGGGATCATTGTCATGTTGGAAGACCCAGCCATGTTTCATCTTCAATGCCCTTGCTGATGGAAGGAGGTTTGCACTCAAAATCTCACGATACATGGCCCCATTCATTCTGTCCTGTACATGGATCAGTCGTCCTGGTCCCTTTGCAGAGAAACAGCCCCAAAGCATAATGTTGCCACCCCCATGCTTCACAGTAGGTATGGTGTTCTTTGGATGCAACTCAGCATTCTCTCTCCTCCAAACACGACGAGTTGTGTTTCTACCAAACCGTTCTATTTTGGTTTCATCTGACCATATGACATTCTCCCAATCCTCTTCTGGATCATCCAAATGATCTCTAGCTTACTTCAGACGGGCCCAGACATGTACTGGCTTAAGCAGGGGGACACATCTGGCACTGCAGGATCTGAGTCCCTGGCGGCGTAGTGTGTTACTGATGGCAGCCTTTGTTATGTTGGTCCCAGCTCTCTGCAGGTCATTCACTAGGTCCCCCGTGTGGTCCTGGGATTTTTGCTCACCGTTCTTGTGATCATTTTGACCCCACGGGGTGAGATCTTGTGTGGAGCCCCAGATCGAGGGAGATTATCAGTGGTCTTGTATGTCTTCCATTTTCTAATTATTGCTCCCACAGTTGATTTGTTCACACCAAGCTGCTTGCCTATTGCAGATTCAGTCTTCCCAGCCTGGTGCTGGTCTACAATTTTGTTTCTGGTGTCCTTCGACAGCTCTTTGGTCTTCACCATAGTGGAGTTTGGAGTGTGACTGTTTGAGGTTGTGGACAGGTCTCTTTTATACTGATAACAAGTTCAGACAGGTGCCATTGATACAGGTAATGAGTGCAGGACAGAGGAGCCTCTTAAAGAAGACGGTACAGGTCTGTGAGAGCCAGAAATCTTGCTTGTTTGTAGGTGACCAAATATTTATTTTCCTCCATAATTTGCAAATAAATTCTTTCCAAATCAGCCAATGTGATTGTCTGGATTTTTTTTCTCATTTTATCTCTCATAGTTGAGGTCTACATATGATGCCAATTACAGGCCTCTCTCATCTTTTTAAGTGGGAGAACGTGCACAATTGGTGGCTGACTAAATACTTTTTTGCCCCACTGTGTGTATATATATATATATATATATATATATAATATATATATATATATATATATATAAATATACAGAGACCAACAGCACAGCAAAGACTTATCAGAGAGAGGTGAAAGGGTTAAGGTACTTGCCAAAGTCCTGGGTTAGCAGATCCAAGTTTCAGAATGAAAGGGCACGGGTCTACCCAGGTGGTACTGATGTTAAAATGGGAGACATCATCATCTCTTTTCTTCTTAGGCCTGACAGCCTAATTTGTAGTTCCCCAGCAGGGGGTGTCTCTGAAGTCAAGGACCAATACTCCGTTTAGGGCGTGGAGGTCTGGGTGTGGACCTAAACTAGAGCCAAAATCTTGTATAGTTCATATTTTGGCTCATAACTTTTCCTATGCACAAGTTACATTCCACCCGCGGGTAGATTATTATGCAGACACGTCTGAGGATTGATTAGATATGAATTATGAAATTATACACTGGTTCACAAGATCTATTTTTCGGCTTTCCTATGTATTCGAGACATGGCGAGTGACCTATCAAATTGTTCGTCTTCTCTTAGCCAATCTAACGATATGTCTGGTTTTTATGTAAGCCTCTCATATTCCAAGATATGATACATAGGGGAAAAATGGATTTTTAAAAGTGTTAGCTGGTCCCGCCGCTTTCTTGGAATGTCTTGAACTCCGGGAAAGCTTGCCTTATCTTATACGAGGTGTTACATTTTACAGGTTCTTCAGACAGCTAGGCCCCAGCTCCCTTGGGGACTTTATAGCTCCTAGCCCCCTGCTGGGCCCTGGCCTCCTGTGACACTCCTAACACACATACGCACTGGCCATTTGTCGCTGTGACTCTCAGAAAGGGAGGGGGGAAAAGAGGGGGAAATATGTTTGTCAGGATGGTTAACCTCCTTGCCAAGATGGAGGTTCTTAACTGAATGGAGGACTGCGTCAGTTTCTGGGTATATGCTGTTACACTGTGGACAGTACAGAAAGTGCCAAAGGGCCACAGGTTGAGCACCTGGGATATATATATGCATATGCAATATTAAAACCACAAAATATATTTTGTTAAAAAAAATGGATCCATATGGACCAAGTAAATAAACTCATTCATAGGCATCCATGCTGCATCCAACCAAAAGGGGACTGTGGTAAATCTCAATAACTTAATATATGTCATTTTTAAAATGAGTCTACACTATATAGCCAAAAGTATTGGGCCAGCCCACCAAATCATTGTATTCAGGTGTTCCAATCACCTCCATGGCCACAGGTTTTACAATCAAGCCCCTAGGAATGCAGACTTCTTCTACAAACATTTGTGAAAGAATGGGTCGCTCTCAGGAGTTCAGTGACTCCAAGCGTGGTCCTGTGATAGGTTGTCACCTGTGCCATAAGTCCATCCGTGACATTTCCTGGCTATTATATATTCCACGCTCAACTGTTAGTGGGATTATAACAAAGTGGAAGCAACTAAGAACAACAGCAACTCAGCCACCAAGTGGTAGGCCACGTAACATGATAGAGTGGGGTCAGCGCACGCTGAAGAGCGTAGTGCGCAGAAGTCACCAACTGTCTGCAGAGTCAATAGCTAAAGACCACCAAACTTGGTGTGGCCTTCATATTAGCACAACAACAGTGTGTAGAGAACTTCATGGAATGGGTTTCCATGGCCGAGCAGCTGCATCCAAGCCTTACATCACCAAGTGCATTGCAAAGTGTTGGATGCCGTTGTGTAAAGCACGCCGCCACTAGCCTCTAGAGCAATGGAGACATGGTCTCTGGAGTGACCAATCATGTTTCTCTGTCTGACAATCCGATAGATGTGTCTGGGTTTGGCAGTTGCCAGAATGGTACTTGCCTGACTGCATTGTGCCAAGTGTAAAGTTTGGTGGAGGAGGGGTTATGGTGTGGGGTTGTTTTTCAGGGGGTGGACTTGGCTCCTTATTTCCAGTGAAGGGAACTCTTAAGGTGTCAGCATACCAAGACATTTTGGACAATTTCATGCTCCCAACTTTGTGGGAAGAGTTTTGGGATGGCCCCTTTCTGTTCCAACATGACTGCGCACCAGTGCATAAAGCAAGGTCCATAAAGACATGGATGAGCGAGTTTGGGGTGGAGGAACTTGACTGAGTCCTGACCTCAACCCGATGGAACACCTTTGGGATGAATTAGAGCGGAGACTGCTAGCCAGGCCTCCTCCCCCGACATCAGTGCCTGACCTCACAAATGTGCTTCTGGAAGAATGGTCCAACCTTCCCATAGACACCCTCCTAAACCTTGTGGACGGCCTTCCCAGAAGAGTTGAAGCTGTTATAGCTGCAAAGGATGGACCAACTCAATATTGAACCCTACAAACGAAGACTGGGGGGCCATTAAAAATTCATGTGCGTGTAAAGGCAGGAGACCAATACTTCTGACAATATAGTGTATATTCGAGGGTTCTTTAAAAAGTTTCCACACTTTTTTAAACTCTATTATATTTATAAAAGTGCAGAAGCTTTTTGAAGACCTCTACCCTCATATTTTAACTACATTTTTTTTATTGTCTCAGTCATAGGGACACATTAGGAAAGTGCACATATACATTTTACTGTCACCAATGAATGGGTAAAGATTGCAGCAAACCAAACATTTGAAAGACCCTTTGTGTATTAGTTGGGTCAATGTGCAGTACAGCTCACAGTCTTGGCCAGGGGCTAGCTAGCTGGGACAGTAGGACTTAATGGATCTGTGTGATTGAAACAGTGAAATGTTGTGCTTAGAAGGGATTTTTTTGATGATGAGAACTTGGGAACTAAAACAAAACGGCTTATTTAACCACTTGCTTATCGGGCACTTATACCCCCTTCCTTACCAGGCCAATTTTCAGCTTTCAGAGCTGTCGTACTTTGAATGACAATTGCGCGGTCATGCAAGATTATACCCATATGAAATTTTTATCATTTTTTTTTCACACAAATTGAGCTTTCTTTTGGTGGTATTTAATCGCCACTGGGTGTTTTACTTTTTGTGTTATGGACACAGCTGATCACGTGATGTGGTAAAAGGACAATCACAGCGGCTTTTTACCACGTGATCAGCCGTCTCCAATGACACGCTGATCACAGGGAAATGCAATTGCCGGTTCTCGGCTGCACTTTCCTCACACTGTCAAAACGTGGGGAAAGTACTGCCGAGAACCAGCAGTTGTCAGAGCAGGGATCGGCACCGATCATCAGGGCACTGATGATCAGTGCCCTGATGATCGGTGCCCAGCAGTGCCACCCACCAGTTCCACCGACCTGTGCCCAGCAGTGCCACCCACCAGTGCCCAGCGGTGCCACCCACCAGTGCCCAACAGTGTCACCCACCTGTGCCCATCAGTGTCACCCACCTGTGCCCCCCTGTGTCACCCATCAGTGCCACCCAACTCTGCCCATCAGTGCCACCCACCTCTGCCCATCAGTGCCACCCACCTCTGTACTTCTGACTGCCTTGTTGCCGACCCAGCCTGATACTGTTGTCTTCTCCTGCTCTGACCCTTGGCTCGTCCTGACCATTCTCTGCCTGATCCTATTGCCTGACCTCCTGTTGCTGAACCCAGCCTGTGACCTGATTATTCTTTGCCTGCCGTTCTGTCCTGTCTGCTCTGCTGTTACCAACACGGCCTGTCTGACCACATTATACCTCTTCACATCTGGCTCTTACCTGCTATACGCCATTGACGGCTGCCTTTACAACAGCTGGTGTTACTCGGGGGTTGTGACCTGGTCTCAGGCTGCTTCAAGTCCATCCCCACCATCAGGGGCTCTGGTGAACCAGCAGACTGAGGCTTAGACTCCACGCCCTGAGGGACTCTGGTCTGTGGGTCGCTAGAGGCTACCGTCAGTCGGCTCGTGACATTAGAGTAGACAAAGAAAATGTATACTTCTCATTAAAGAAAGTTCTTTTATTATCAGTAGTCAGTTTTTAGCTGAATTCAGCATGGATGGCTATGAATGAGTTTATTTACTCATTCCACATGGATTCATTTTATATGGAAAAAATACATTTTGTGATTTTAATATCCATTGTCTCATACAGATACATACACTAGTTGCCTATTATTTTGGGTGTAGCCACGTGGAAAGTACTTTTTGGATGTGTTTTAGATTTCAATAACAATCAGGATTTTTCTTTTAATGTTGGTAAAAAATCAAGGGGCAATGCAGACAGTTCTTATTCTGACAGTTTGACCAATGGGTCTCACCACTCTGGTACCTGCCCAGATGAGGCTCTGTATTTGTTTGTGCAATGTGTAGATGGAAGCTTAATTGCATAAGATGAAGCAACCCCCCCAACCCGGCATTTGTCCCCCATGTTGTAATGTCCCCTATTGCAGGCCTGTATCCAATGGTCGGAGGTCCAGAAGCAGCTGAAATTGTCGGATGTGGAGGAGATAAGGAGTTACAGAGCCCCTCCGCCCCTGGTAATAATGGTCACTGATGTCCTTTGTACTGTGTTCGGAAAAGAGCCTGGATGGGAGAATGCCAAACTACTGCTGGGACAAGAAGATTTCTATCAGGTAGGTTTGAAGTAGTGTGGAGGTGTCCTGGTATAGAAAGAGTACTCTGAAGGTATCAAAGCACAGTATATACAGAGTACTATGGAGGTATACAGATATGTACAGAGTACTATGGAGGCATCTGGGTATATACAGAGTACTCTGGTAGTATTGAGGTATATACAGAGTACTCTGAAGATATAAGGATATATACAGAGTACTCTAGAGGTGACTGGGTGTGTAGAAAGTACTTGTATGTAGAGAATAATCTGGGTATATACATATGTAGCACTATCCTCTTAGGAGTCGCTGAAGTTTTGGGTCCCCCTGTAGTCCTGCACAGCCAGCCAACATGCATTTTCCACACACACCTGCATCCAGGAGACAGTAACCTGTCCTTGAGCTTGTTTTTTTTAGATTTTATTAGGAGAATTTGAACTTGGATGGGGTAAGGGGAGTATGGGATGCCTAAGGGTAATGGCAGCAGAGGACAAACTCCTTAGCAACTATGTACAAGTCTTTACAGCAAAAACTCTTCTGGAGAGGTAGCCAGCATCTCCTGTAGTACCTCAGACCCTAGATGAATCCTGTCCTCATCCATCTGTATTGGCTAAATCCCTGGGCAGGGACTCCAGTGCCTGCCACTGCACTACGAACAATCCCAGGTAAAAAGTTAATCCAGTTTCCCACCAGAGTGCCTCTTTCCCCTTGCTGGCCCAGGGGGTGCAGGTTTATTCACTCAGTCCTTCTCCTGTGCTGCTGGTGGCTGCTACCAGGCCTTCTAGCTGGGCTGCTCCTTCTCTAATGCATAAGTGGTCCTCTCCCTGAGGGCCAGTGAAGCCCCAAACTTTCCTCCTTCCAAGTTCCTCTGCCTGTAGATGAGCCTCTCTCCATCTGGGCCCCCTCCCAGGCTCCTGCTCTCCAGCCTCACTTATCCATCTTCCACCCGAACTCTCCTCCCCTCCTGCTGAGCATGCTCAGTCACTCTTAACAGCTGTCCTGGCCCCAAGCCAAGCCTCCTGTTGGGGATTGGCCAGGATCCCTTAAGAGTGCAAACCTGCCACCCCTTACCCCCGCCCACTGCTTCAAGAACTTTCTCCAAAGCTCTAGTGCAGGGGGAAATACCAGAGAGCTGATGTACAGAGCCTCTCAGCTTCTGACTGAAATTTGACTCCTCTGACTATTACACCTAGGCTGCTACTCAGCCCTTCTAACTGAAAATGATAACTCTAGCTCCACCTAGCTACCTAGGAGGGTGCTACACATAGTATTCTGGTGTCCAGATATATAGGCATTACTTTGGAGCTGTCCAGGTATATATGGAATACTCTGGAGGTGTCCGGGTATATAGGCATTACTCTGGAGGTGATCAGTATATACAGAGTACTCTGGGGTTGTCTGGGTATATGCAGAGTACTCTGGAGATGTCTGAGTATATACAGAGTACTCTGGAGATGTCTGAGTATATACAGAGTACTCTGGAGGTGTCTGGGTATATACAGAGTACTCTGGAGGTGTCTGGGTATATACAGAGTACTCTGGAGGTGTCTGGGTATATACAGAGTACTCTGGAGGTGTCTGGGTATATACAGAGTACTCTGGAGGTGTCCAGGTATATACAGTGTACTCTGGAGGTATCTGGGTATATACAGTGTACTCTGGAGGTATCTGGGTATATACAGTGTACTCTGGAGGTATTTGGGTATATACAGTGTACTCTGGAGGTATCTGGGTATATACAGTGTACTCTGGAGGTATCTGGGTATATACAGAGTACTCTGGAGATGTCTGGGTATATACAGTGTACTCTGGAGGTATCTGGGTATATACAGAGTACTCTGGAGGTGTCTGGGTATATACAGAGTACTCTGGAGGTGTCCGGGTATATACAGAGTACTCTGGAGGTATCTGGGTATATACAGAGTACTCTGGAGGTGTCTGGGTATATACAGAGTACTCTGGAGGTGTCTGGGTATATACAGAGTACTCTGGAGGTGTCTGGGTATATACAGAGTACTCTGGAGGTGTCTGGGTATATACAGAGTACTCTGGAGGTGTCTGGGTATATACAGAGTACTCTGGAGGTGTCTGGGTATATACAGAGTACTCTGGAGGTGTCTGGGTATATACAGAGTACTCTGGAGGTGTCCGGGTATATACAGAGTACTCTGGAGGTATCTGGGTATATACAGAGTACTCTGGAGGTGTCTGGGTATATACAGTGTACTCTGGAGGTGTCTGGGTATATACAGTGTACTCTGGAGGTGTCCGGGTATATACAGAGTACTCTGGAGGTATCTGGGTATATACAGAGTACTCTGGAGGTGTCTGGGTATATACAGAGTACTCTGGAGGTGTCTGGGTATATACAGAGTACTCTGGAGGTGTCTGGGTATATACAGAGTACTCTGGAGGTGTCCGGGTATATACAGAGTACTCTGGAGGTGTCCGGGTATATACAGTGTACTCTGGAGGTATCTGGGTATATACAGAGTACTCTGGAGGTGACTGGGTAAGTAGAGAGTACTCTGGAGGTGTCTATGTATATATGGAGTACTCTGAAAGTGTTCAGGTATCATTTATATGGAGTGCTCCAGAGGTGTGTGGGTATATAGGCAGTACTTTTGGAGGTGTCCAGGTTAGAGAATCCACAAATGTCCCACCCTGGGACCCTGTAACCTCCATGTTGGGTGAATATGTCATGAATCCATCCCTCAATATCTGTTGTATTTATAGGATCTGCAGTTCTATGTTGGCCATGGGATGTCGGATGCCGTGTTCTCTGCTCTGTCTCGTGCAGTCAGAGGGTCAGAATTTAGTGCCACCTGTGTCAGGCCTGCCAGCGCAGCAGCTGCGTCTCTCTGTGACTGGTTGCGTGGTCTCCACCAATATTGCAGAGTACTCCGTAAGCTGGAGAAGGGAAGAAGTCTTCTGTCCCGGGCTGAGGCACAGGACCTGGAGGTGGCTGAAAGGATAGCGGAACAGAGGCTCCAACAGGAACG